CTGAGAATGGTACAATTAGTTTTGCCTTACAAATACATCAAATTGCAAGTTTTGGACTGCTAACCCTTACAGAGTCTACAAATTAAAACAGTTAGACTGTATACCCTTATTTATTTTTTTTGGAAATTATAGTCACCCATATAAACCTCCGGCTGCTACTAATAAAAAGACATAATTGAGATAACCAATCACGAATTTCCGATAGAAAAAGCTGTGTCTACTGACACTCTGACACATTACGGCTAGTTTAAGCTCTTCGGTTCCGGGCGGTTTTGTAGTTTTTGTATTTAAAGATATATTTCCAGAGAAAAGAGGTTGTGAGACAAGACCTCACCTTGAAATTAAATAACTTGCTAGCGATTTCAAAATCCTTTAGCATCAGTTTGTTAGACTACTTATTACTAAACGTTCCTCGCATTTAGACGTATTTAGTTCTAGTAAAACGTTGTGAAATTTTATAATCCGATTGTTTCAACGCTTTATCATTGGTTTGCCTTCTCTTTTTTCCCAGTTTCACATTCAATTACTTTGCATGTTTTCTGTTCACTTACCTTACAGAAACAGAAGGAGATAATATGACGTTTGTGCCTCTGTTGGAGGGAATGGAAACGAATAAGGCGTTCCTAGGTAAGAAAGCCCTTGCTTTAAATAATATAAATTTGAAGTTCATCCAGTTTATGATAAAAACACAAGAGTCAAAGGACTTTAGACAATTTGCAGTTAGTCTCAAGCTAAGATAATTTCGCTCTACACCGTCAACATGCAAGAACCAACAAGCGTACGTAAAGTCTTTAATACTCGTGCCTTGTAATTTTGTGTCTGGGCCAATAGTTTCAATTGCAATAATTTCAATAGTTTCAAGTGCACTGGCCGATAAAGGTATAATAAACAGACGCGCGCGTGCTGAAATCAATTCTGTTTCAACATTGTTTCATCCATATAAGTTTCTACCGGATTGAAGTTAGGTAGCCTATGTAATCAAAAAATAATCTGGAAATACCACGTTTTCTTTCTTTCAAATCTTGGCCGGCAAATTGCATGATGCTTAATAAACAAAGTTTCGTTCTTATCAACAACTCAACACCAATTAAAGACCACGCGACGTACGATCAGCGTACGTACAACCACTAGATCTGGGTAATACCAATATAACCATAATGTCACCATAAACTTCTCATAGTTCAATATAGAGTGTTTCTATCTTGTTTTCTTACATAGAGCGGCTAAATCCACCACCACCAAAACCCGAGAAAATGCGCTCGCCAACAAGAGACTCGCCGAGCAGGCTACAAACTGACGGAGCACGTGGGAAAAGAGCCTCACTAGCGCCAAGGCCTAAACAGGGTCAATTAGCACCTCCAGTTAGCTCATCACGAGGTCTGTCCCCTGGGAGGAGGGGCAGTAGAATGAGGAGTCAGAGCGTGCAACTCGCCCAAGCTCCACTTAGTGCCTCATTTAATGGCGCAAGACGGGCCCGATAACATGTGGAAATTTATTGGAGCTTCATTGAGCGACTTCGAGTCTTCGGCGTGGAAGGCGTCGAGCACCATTCCATAGAGGCCTGGATCAGAACAAAGTTTTTGGGCGTAAATGTTTCAAAATGGAATGGTGAAACTTTCTTTTGTTTATTTGGTGACGTTGAGTCAAACAAATAACGTGCCTGAATTCCCCATAAAAGACTGATAAAAAGGATTCGTCATCCTTCATGTTCTTTTTTTCATGAAGAAGTAACGTAACATTCAAGAACAATATAACTTGAGTTTCATTTGGTAAAGTAACAGACTAATGCAAACTGAAAGATCACCTTAGCTTCCTCTCTCCACTTTTCCTTTCCTAATTACAAGACATTTAAATATCCTTATCACCCTAAATAACGCACGCTTACACGATATATATCAATAAATATCATAAGTGACAAATAAATAACTTGAGTCCTGTTTTGCAGTATTTCTATCTATTCATTGTACTTTATGTTCTGTATATAATTTATGTATTTACATGGTTTCATCTGCCACCGTATAAACATTTCATTTTGTCAGGGCTGAACATTTTGGAGAAAAATTATCTAACGATAATTGTCTATCGAG